AGGTTGACTCCAAGCCATTCCCTCCACCTGTCGTCAACATGGTCGACGCACAACTCCTAGCTGGGTATAGGGAAATTCGTCGGATGGCGAAAGGAAAGGAGCCATTAGCCTAATTAGAGTCGTTGCTTTGCGAGCGATGCAAGTGTGAGATCGGTCAGCCCAAGCCGTAGGAGAACAAGAGGAAGGCCACCGAGCCATCCCAACCGACCATAAAGAAATTCGGCGGTCAGTACGACCGTCGGCCGGCTAGCAGAGCTGTTTTTGACCGGCTGGGGGCACAGACCCCCAGTACCGCGACGGGCCACAAGAACGAGGACGGCCTGGGGGTAGGGCCGAACCACTGACAAAAACCCAGCTGAGGAGAATGCAGAGATAGATTCAGCAGGCCAGAATGCTGACGACCGAGGCCGAAGGTTCCAAGCGCCAAAAGAAAGTGGCGACTACGGACGGCCCACCGTCCATACCGATTGTTCCCCCAACAGCAAAAACGGCCATCACCAAGCCTCCGAGGACGTGGCACCCTAGGCAGGATGAGAGTCTCCATGGAACGATGGCCATTTCGGTTCAGCCGAAGGCCGCGGTCTTGGACAGAACAGACGAGGGTATCGTTGACATCTACCGCGGAAGGGACCCCCCTTTTTAGGCCAACGGTCTGTCCTTTCTTATGGAATTCCATAAAGATCACTCGGCCACAGACCTATACGGCATGACCCCTGAGAGCCGTGAAATCATGGAGTTGGCCCTCAAAAATGCAAAGGCAGAGGGACTCCTCATTACCAGCAGATCCGACTCGGCCATTAAGGCTGTATACCAGGCAAACAGGGAAGCCAGAGCAAGAGGGATGCCAAGTTACCAGCCCAACCTCGGAGGATCGGAGCCTAAAGCCCCCTTCAGCAAGGGCGATTTGGAATATCTCCGCCAATATTTTACGGTGACTCCGGCGGACACCATCTTTGGTCTGACAACCAAGGAAAGGGCCTGGGTAAGCTGTTTAGACGACTACTTGATGGCCAGGGACACATTGGCGAAGGATAGACGGGCCCTCGAGGAGGAGGTCGAGACCTCGGACCCCCCTGAGATCAAAGCATCCACAAGCGATGTCCCGGGGACCGCAAGGCCTATGATCGAGGGCCTCGGTGATCCTCTCTTTGGGCATGAGGCCGAAGACGACCCCACTTTAGGAATCTCCGATGAAGAATACGAGGGGATCCTCGGGATAGTCGAGGAAAAGGTCCTCGCCAAAGACGGCTGTGTGGCCGAAGAGGAAGCTGGTAGGGGAAACCCGCAGGAGCCGAAGGAGGTCGGCATGAATATGGTCTTGGTGCTACCGCCTGAGTTTTCAGCCCCAGGAGGCCAAACCAACGGCCTGGATAATGACGTGGCTGAGGAGCAGCTTGATCAGAGGCCAAAGACAAATGAAGAGTTGTTGGCCGTAGCCTTCAATGAGGTGATACCCAGAGATGAGCCGAACAAATACCGACACCTCAAACCATTGTACATCTCGGCTCATGTAGAGGGTGTGCCCGTGTCTAAAGTCTTCGTCGACTGTGAGGCGACGGTCAACATTCTTCCCTATTCCCTGATGAGGAAGCCGGACAAAACAAAAGAGGACCTCATCCCCAGCGACGTGGTCATGAGCAGCTTCGTTGGCGATAAATCCAAGACCATCAGAGTATTGCCGTTACAAATTACCGTGGCCGACCAAACGAGAATCGCGGCCTTCTACGTGGTCGAGTCCAGCGTCGACTAAAATATATTGCTCGGTCGTGATTGGATCCACCAATCTGGGTGTATACCGTCTTCCCTCTTCCAACTGTTATTCTTTTGGGACGGCCTGAAGGTGTCTATACACCCGGCCGATGAAAAGCCTTTCGAGGCCAACGCCGTACAAGCTCGGATTTACGACGAAGACATTGGATGGGTTGTCCTTACCGGCCATGATGCAATCGACCGACCAACTAGAACGACGGCCCAGAAAGTGCTGGATTTAGGCGCCGAAAATATCCGACAGGAATCGGCGCATGAAGTGTTGATCGACCTCACCAGACTTTAGATGACAGACAAAGCCACTAAAGAAGAAGGAGCAGCGGCCGTAACCGACCTGCTAGAGAGACTGCTGGAACACTGGGCGGAGGAATCCTTGCGGCCAAACTCACCAATCAACTAGAGATAAATGGAGGGTCGGAGGCCGAACCACGGCCTCTTTTTGTAAGCCAGCTTTTAGACCCTGAGTTATCGGCCGAGGTTATCGGCCTGCTCCATGAATATAAGGATTGTTTTGCTTGGGATTATCATGAGATGCCTGGATTGCCAAGAAGTTTGGTCGAGCACGAATTAAAAATCAAGGAGGGGTTCAGGCCTTTCCAGCAGCCGCCAAGGCGTTTCTCGACCGAGGTACAACTTAAAGTCAAGGAGGAAATTGAACGGCTCCTTAAAGCCGGCTTCATCCGAACGGCCCGGTACGTTGAGTGGTTGGCCAACATTGTACCAGTTTTAAAGAGGACCGAGGCCCTAAGGGTTTGCACCGATTACCGAAATCTGAACCTCGCAACCCCAAAGGACGAATACCCCATGCCTATGTCAGACCTCTTGGTAGACGGAGCCGCAAAGCACGAACTCCTGTCTTTCATGGACGGCCATGCTGGTTACAATCAAATTTTCATAGCCGAGGAAGATGTCCACAAAACGGAATTCAGATGTCCAGGCGCAATCGAAACCTATGAGTGGGTGGTCATGCCATTTGGTCTAAAAAATGTCGGCGCAATGTACCAGTGAGCTATGAACCTTATTTTCCACGACCTTATAGGCCGGACCATTGAAGTCTACATCGACAACGTGGTTGTAAAGTCCCCATCCAAAGCCGACCACGTAGGACATCTCGAATGTCGGCGCAACGTACCAGCGAGCTATGAACCTTATTTTCCACGACCTTATAGGCCGGACCGTTGAAGTCTACATCGACAACGTGGTTGTAAAGTCCCCATCCAAAGCCGACCATGTAGGACATCTCGGACAGGCTTTTGACCGAATGCGAGCGCACGGCCTAAAAATGAACCCGAAGAAATGTGCTTTCGGCGTCACCGCCGGGAATTTCCTCAGTTTCTGTTTGTGCCTAATAAATCACGGCCAAGAACTGACCGAAAGAGCCCCTTTTCTCAGCCCTAACACTTGCTCGTGAGGCTAAAACGCGGCGTTTCGCCAAGATGTCTAGCCTTCCTAAAAAAGCAAAGGAAAAGTTGTGAAGGCATGATCATCTCGGCCTTGATTATAGGCCGAGGCCGAAGCCGAACAAAATCACGGC